CTTCAGCTGGTGGGTATTGTAGTTGTAAGAATGCTTGATAGAGATCTTGTAGGTGTTTGTCCCTGTCTGAGGGGTTGGAGCAAATGCGGTTGTATCTTAGAGCTTGGCTGTAGACAATATGGTGTGGTCTGGGTGAAAGCTGGAGGCATGTAGATGAGTATAGCCATCAATAGGTTTCCGGTATAGGGTGGTGTTTATGTGACCATCTCTTATTAGCACTATAGTGTCCAGGAAGTGGATCTCTTGTGTGGACTGGTCCAGGCTGAGGTTGATGGTGGGATGGAAATTGTTGAAATTATGGTGGAATTCCTCAAGGGCTTCTTTTCCATGGGTCCAGATGATGAAGACGTAGCACAAGTAGAGTAGGGATGCTAGGGGACTTTTTGGTTGGAGTATTGCGACTTTGAGGTCTGTAATCGAGTGACCAGGGTGGTTGAAGTATTCTCCGACTGGTTTTTGAATGTTATAATTCTTGACATCTGATTTGTGTCCATTTGTTCTTTTGCGTAGAAACTGTCCGGTTTGGCCAATATACATGGCAGAGGGGCATTGCCTCAAAAACAGACTTCAACGAGAAACTGCAGAATTGGAATTAATTTGCAAACTGGACACCATTAAATTAGGCTTGAATAAAGACTGGAAGTGGATGGGTCATTATACAAAGTAAAACCTATTTTCCCATGCTAATTTTTTCCCCTACTGTTACTCACACCTTCTAGTCAACTGCTGGAAATGGGCCATCCTGATTATCACTACAAAAGTTTTTTTTTCCGCCTGCTGATAATAGCCCACCTTAACTGATTACTCTCATTCTAGTTAGTATGGCAACACCCATTTTTTCATGTCCTCTCTGTGTATATATATCTTCCTACTGTATTTTCCACTATATGCATCCGATGAAGTGGGTTTTAGCCCACAAAAGCTTATGCTCAAATAAATGTGTTAGTCTCCAAAGTGCCACAAGTACTCCTCATTCTTTTTGCTGATACAGACTAACACAGCTACCACTCTGAAACTTATTTCTTTTGGCATGCATCTATATACATTTCTGACCAAGTAAGCTTTCTCTATTGGAATAACTAAGGACATTTTAAAATTTTGCTTTTGTTACTAAAAATGGGAGAACATCTGTTGCTACTTGCCTTACCTTCTCCATTTCTTTGTTCTAACTGCTGGAAATTTAGATTTTATACATCAGCCTCAGAGCTGAAAACATGGATCCCTTGGTTAAAAGAAATATTGATTTTTGTCATCCTTCTTGTTCAGAAAGAAAATACGAAAACAGGAGAGCATGACAAAAGAGAAGGGCTGTTTCCCTTGATAAATGCTTTCAATTAGAGCACTGATTAATCGTGAGAGCTTAAGAGTGTCATCATCTGCTATTTCTACTGAAACATGGCAGTAGCAGCTTAAAAAGGCTCTTAACAGGGAAAATAAAACCCATCTATGGAAAATGGAGAGAGCCAAATACTTTAGTATCATAGGGGTAGCCGTGTTACTTTAAGTAGTCAGGAGAAAAGTAGAATAAAATGGATTGTTTTTTAAACAGGGAAAATAAAGAGCTTTTTTCATAGAATTGTTTGAAGATCATAAAAACCTAGACTGTTGGTATCCCAGAGAGAGTGAATGCTAATGAATCAACAGTTTTATTCATTATCTTCTTCTAACTAGTCTCTGGAAAAATAGATAATCCAAACCTTGTATACTGCCAGGCTTGACCCATAAACTGTTATGGGAGGGTGTACATTAATTTAAAGAGGAAAAAATATTTATTTTCCCCCTTGTGATATGTGGCTGCTCAGTTACTTCCGTTAATGTCTCTACTGTAAAGTACTATTTGTAGCACACACAAATTGGGGGGGGGGGGAGACGGCATCAGATACATTTTTGGGACTGGGTGAATAACGTTGCTCTTATAAAAGAAAACAGGACAGTTTGGAGAATAATTTTAGAAGGTGGGAAAAGGCGAATTTTGATGGAGAAAGATACTAGGGAAAAGCAAATGCTTCTCCAGCGATTTAAAGTCTCTGAAATGACAATATAAACTTCATGGATATGGGGCATTAGATAAAAGGATTTTAGTGAGAGAGGAAGTAGTACTCTCGAGGGGAACAGGTTGTGCTGGTAAGCGCTTCTTGTGTTGGCCTTTATTTTAAATATTACTTTAGAATGGGGCCTGTAAATCTAGGGATGTTAACAGTTTGGGTGGGAGAAAAGAGGCCTTTCTGTTTAGGGTAAAGTATAGGAATAATGCCATTGCCCCAGCTATTAAAATATTTTTAAGATCAGTTTTAAAATTTGCATTTACAAGAGTGGTACAGTACAGCGCATTGCAGTTAAGAGAAAGGGGAAGTTGGAATCTGTCCCAAAAACCTAGGTTTAAAAAAAATGTATATAATACTTCCCCTTCTGATCATGTGGGGGTGGGGGAGAATGAGGGAGAGAAACTGCTAGCCAGCTAAGTTAACCCTTTCATTGTTTATTTTGGAGAGCCTTTCAGAATACAATTGAAGAGCCACATCTTGAGGTGCTTACACAGGCAAAACTTCCATTGAGTTTTGCCTGAGTAAGTACCTCATGTTTTGGCCCTATAATATTAAAGGAAATCTAGTTTAATGCAAAGAGAAATC